AGTGAATATAAATTGATTTAGTATCATCTAATTCTCAGGTTTTGTATTGTTTTGAATTTACAAATTCACTGAAGCATAGAATGAACTTTTAAGAAACATTTAGAGGAATATTAATGTAAAAATTACCTCATGTTCCAACAGCTATCAAATATTTAGAATATCAAAAGTCCCTACAAACCCACTTCTTATTTTTTGGAGATGAGTCATTGCAAAATCCTGTTAAATCTGGATGACTTGTGCTTTGAGTGTTACTGTTGGATGGCTCTTTATTCACTCCATACCCTCAGATGATATTTTCATACAAAACAAACCACACTGCGCCACATAGTCAGACACACCCTGGGAATCTTTGACCCGCTTCCACAGATCGAACAGAAACATTTAGCAGAATGCTACAACAACTTCCTGTGGCATCTATGAAAACGGCCCCAAATATGACTGAACTCTCTCTCACTGTGCTTCATCCAACTAAAATACTCAAACACCCCAGCTGTTTGTGCTAGCCACTTTTTGGAGAAGTGAACCTCAACATAAACACAGCCCTATTCACCTTCCATCGTCGCGCCCTCCACCCCCACCACTCCTGCCAAACCAGCTCTTCTTGTTCCCTTCTTTGTCTGTGTGTCGAAATTAGTCAAATGTTTTTCTTTTTCCTCCTGCTGCTAAGCAACATGGGAATGCTGCAAAGGATTGCACTCTTAATCCAAACTGGGTTTTGCAGCATCAGCTGTTTGGGTGCAGTAGTGTTGTGCATACCGGTGCCCTGGCCGAGCTAGCACTTTGTTATCCAAGATTTTGAGAGAATCCTTGCGATACCATCTGTCACTATCATTTAAGTGGTGGGAGCACTGACATTTCCATTTCGATGGGAAATGGAACACAGTTTTATTCCAAGTGTCAAAAAATCATGTGCATGTGGATGTGAAGTGTTTGGAATTGCTGATCAGGGCAGGCAACAGACCGTTTCAGGGAAGCAGCAAAGAGCTTATAAAATGTTCCATAGTTACTGCCAAAATACAGGGCTGCATCAACATTACTGACAGTCATCCAGTCCATCAGTGAAGCCAATTTTCTGATTGCATGTGCCATCATTTTACAGTTTAAATTAAACAGTAGTGCTTTTTTTTCAGATTTAGCAGCAAGCTAGTGTCAACTATGTGGTGCAGTAATGTGGTTACAGAACATGACCTAGAATCAGTTTATACCTAAAGTGCAGTTAAGTGCCCCAAGAGTGGGACAAACATTAGTGGGGCAGGAGAATTGCTGACTTGATCTAATCTCCAGTCTACTTGACACAGATGGTCCACTCCGTCATCAAAAAATGGGAGGTCAAATTCCAGTCCGGGCTCCAGTGAAGCCACAGCATCAATGTTTAGTTTATGTAGCTCTTGAAGTACAAAATAAAACTGAATATCATCCTTCAGATAAACTATGAAGTGCAAGTAAAAAAAACCCTCCAACTTTAAATGTACATTTTATAATTGCAAAGCTGTATTTTACTAAAACTGAATAAATAATGACACAGCTCAAGGGAATATGATGCCAAGATAGGAAATCTTTTATTACAGAGAAAAACTTTTCTTCCAAAATATAGAAATCTGTACAACTTCCGCACAATTTACATGAACTGTACAAATTTACAGCAGTTCATCACAACATACCCAAGGAAAAGAAACTGAACACGATCAAGATGTACTGACATGAGATCACAAGATAGACAGCTTTTCATCTTGGGTAAGCTCAGATTTTTTTTGGTGCATTTTTTTTTAGTTTTGTATGTAAATAGAAAAGAGAAAAAACGGAAAAAAAAAACAAAACAAAGGATATGTCTACACGTACAGATCATGGAAACTAGTATTTTTACCAAAATAACTTTGGTCCTTGCCAACACTCCCATCACAAATGGCTTCACTTACAAAAAGAGTTATTCATGTTAAAAGATGAAATACAAAAAGGAAAACATCTAAAAACACCTCAGGATAGCGATTATTGGCACTTCCCATGTGTAATGTTATGTATTCTACCATTTGTTGTACAGTTACAATACATTCTAAAATATGTAAAACACCTCAAATGTGAAAGTGGCAATAATTCAACTAATCGATGACAATATCAATGACAACAACAAAACTGTGGTTCCCTTTCTGTTTCATGTCTTAACATGCACAACTTTTCCATAAGGTTATCTACTGAATGTCTGAGGCCTGAGTTTGGCATTACATTCCAGGAGAGACTCCTCACGTCCCAAAAAAAAAAAAAAATGTCACACACGACTTCAACTTGACATATTTAGTGCATTTTATGTGCTATTTCATCTGACTACTCCAAGCACTAGTGACAGTTCTTTAACCTATATGCGCACAAGCTGAATGGCTTCAATTTAAATAACTTTTATTGAAGACCAACCATTTTGGATGGCGGTAGTACAGCTGAGACAGTGTTGAACGGGATTTGGGTTTAACTTTTTAATTCTGTACTTTTGATAACCAGGTCTGTTAAAAGTGGATTAGATCAGCGGAAAGTTGAGAAAATCCCAGTGCGACCCATAAAATACATTGAGAGAAAAGTGGGACAAAATGATCATCCCACGACTGGAAAAATGGACCATTCTCAAAACATTGTCGCGTGACATAAAAAAGCTACTATGGAGCAGCGTGATTTTAAAACTGGTGTCCGCCATGGAAACCAAAGCTCTGGGCTCCCATTCCAGCGAGCGCCTCGCCATCTGACCAACATGAAATCGCTGCTTTTCACAGATTGCTGAAGGGAGTATCAGCAGAGAGCATGGGGGAGGGGATGGAGTTTGGGGGTTGCAGTGCGTCAAAGGATATAGCTCTATTACCCATGATCCTCTCAGGCTTAGGGGAGCTTAAACAACCATAGGTTTAGTGAGCGGTGAACCAGCCTGCTCCTGCTATGACAGCTTTGGCCAGCGGCTAAGGCCCAGGCAACACCCATAGCCGTCTTAGCATCTGTTCAAGCTTTCTGTTAACCCCTCAGCCCCAGAAAAGGGAGTGGGGTGGGTACATCAGACAGCCATCACATCCTTTCATAAGCATGTAAACAAAGTTGCTACTCAAACCCAGTAATCAAGTGCAGAGCAATCCAGTGAGATGAAAACAGAAAACAATGGCCTAGTACCCTCAATACTTCATGTTTGATCCACGTTTCCTCATCTCCCACTAGCCCCCCTAGTGCAGCTTGAGCACGGCAAGCGTGTGTGCTGGTTTTTATCCATCACTGCTGGGGTAGGCTCGAGGGCTTCTGGTCAGGGAGGGGAATGTTGAATAAGTCCAGAGGAGGGGGTGGAGGGACTTTAGCTGCCCTGGACAAAAAGAGTCTGGCCCTGGCCCCCCTCTCTCACACCGGTTCCCCGTCCCTGCCTTCCTTACCCAGCTCCCCACAGTGATGGATGATGATATGTGTCACATTAAGTCTGCCTGCATCTACAGGGGGTCAGCTAGCAGCATGCTGGCTTGTTTTGGCTGAACAGGAGGTCTGAGCTGAGGGGTGATAGGTGGCACATGAGGCACTCTAACCCCCACCCCAGGAGAGCCGGGGCAGATTTGAAGCTGCTGGGCTGGAAAGAGGACACCTCCATTGAGGGTCCAGGCAGCACAATGCACCAGGCCGGCTCACATCAGCCTGATAGTAGTTTAAAATCATGAATGGCTCATAAGTCATGATAATGAGGTCTACGTAAGGCAGTGCACCTCCAGTACACACAAAAGGATGTCTATTGCAAATGAAAATAGAAGGTTGACAAGGCCTGATGTAGTTTTTAAATTAAAGTTAATTGATCTCTGAACAGTCTGTGCTCCAGACCTCCTTGTGGCCACAGTGTCACACAGTCATCACTTAGTCCAGACCTTTCAGGCTAACTTTTTTTTTTTTTTTCTATCAACAATCCAAATCACCATCTGTGCATTTGTGGGGGAAACAGCTTAGCTCTGCAACCTGCCAGAGCAGACAGTGCCATATGAACGGATGACAGAATGTTTAATATACCACCAAACATACTCTCCATCTAACAACTCTGAAATGATCAAAAATACAGTGTATAAAAGGTTTTGAAATCCAGAGTTGAATACTCACTATTTAATAGACATGAGTCTATCCTAATGTGGGCGCTACAGTATGAACATAATGGATAAAAGGGCAATAAAAATGGTGTGGAAACATGACATTTGAATGAATGGAATGCAGGCAATCCCTCTAAAAATGTACACATCCCACACAATCTCATGTCAAAGTGCATTCAATGTCAATTCTAACAGGGCCACATGACTAGCATTTGCTACAATTTGAGTTTTAGTGATGCCGGACATGACAAAGTGGTGGTGGGCAAAGGAGGCACAATTAACAACACAGGAACTTGACTCTGAATTTCAACAACATTTCA